GCATATCTAATTTAACTAGAGTTAGACCACAGGGTCTTGCTCCTGATGTGTAAAAAATATTTATTAAAGCAATATGAGCTGCAACTTTGATGTCAGAAATTTTTGTTGCAAAATTGTAATTAACTATTTTAATGACAGAAAAAAGAACGTTTATAAACTTCTGTTGTTCATATTTGTGATGGAAGAACTATTCATACATTGTAAGCTTTGATAGAAGCAAAATTACATTATGGTCGCCCTGTACAATATTGATTTCTTATACAATATGATAATTATATTTGATTGTACAGAATCCTTTATTCTGAAACAATTTGATTCTTTATTTCTGTCTAATTGATCAAAAACGTTTAAATTATATACAAATTAACCATAATAACACATTTTAAGAGCAAAATAAAATTCTCAAAAATGCAGCTCATATTGCTTTAAAAAAAATATACGATATACTAAAACAACAAGTTCCCCAGACCCTTAACCTGTTGTTTTTTTATGTTTAACATCAACAAATCACACAGGGGCTTCTTCCTGGTGTGTAAAAAACGTACACCAGGGAAGTATAACATGTAGAATTCACGACCCGATGTTTTGCTTGTCCACTAAACTTTAGTGGACAAGCAAAACATCGGTTCTTTAGTCTAAGGAGCAAAATGAATGTAGAACTTCAACTACCTTTGGCTAACTAACTGCTCAACACAAACAGGAATAAATCATAGCTGTGTAATTGAGAAGGTACTTCATGTAGGATACAGTTAATCCGGATTGTACTTGAAGATGTGAAACGGAGCACTTTTTTGTGCAAAATAAAATAAAATATGCACCTTTTCATTGGGTGGCACTGTAGCTCTCTGGTCGTCTATGGGTTGTCCATTCCAGCGAGCTACAGATCTGCAGCTAGGCTTAATATTTAACAAAATGCAGATTTTCTTTTTAAAAAAATGTTTTATGTTTTAAATGAATTAAGATAAGATTCAGTTTAGCGCCTATGAGATAGATAAGAACTACAGTGGCGAGGTTTGTAAATAATTAAGCATTGAATAATTATGTTTTGAAAGATATAGTCTCATAACTGCAAGGTGTGTGCAAACAAATTAACGCGCGTTACTTAATTTGTTTGCACACACCGTTACAGTTATCATATGAGACTATGTCTTTCAATAAATAATGATTCATTGCTCATATTTACATTTTTTAACTCCTTGCCTTGACTGCAAAGGTGTTTTTTATTTCAATTTTTTTTTTGTGTATTATTTAGAGAACGAGATAGGTACTGTATCGTAGATACAAATTTGGGGTGGACGAGTGCGTAGCACGAGTCTCCACCTCAAATTTGTATCTACGATACAGAACCTGTCGAGTTCTCTAAATGACTTGTGACACGATCAATCAAAAAAAAAAAAGCTCCGCCCACTTCATACCTGTGCAGCATCCAAACTTCCGCCAGAGTTCGTTTGTTCTTTCTGTAGATGAGACTTCGACGGGGAGTATACATCCGCAGTATATGTATATTTTCACGGACAATAAGATTTAGTCAGATTAGTTTTGACAACAGGGTAGACGTAACAGACTCGAAGTCAGTCTTAATTGATAAGGTGGACGAATTAACCTTGTTGTAAATGGAGATTGATCCGAATTTATTTCAGGGGTCTTAAAATCTCAGTTAACTATATAGATACACATACAGGCGATACAGACAGTTTTTCGATGGACTTTGATGTAACGGATTTTTATTTTCTTATTGAAATGCGACATTAAAAACGAAGTGAAAGAGATGTGCGCCAGTCGTCAGCGATAATGATTTAAGATGAAATTAAAAAAAAATAATCCTGAAAAATAAACTTGATTGAGTTTACACGAGAAGAGTGGAAAATGGGGGGAGGGGGAGTGCGAATTTCACGTATGTATGCTGCATCCGCGAACCCATTGGCTTTACTATTTTGAAGGGGACACAAAAAGCAGGGAAAGCAAACAGGTTTTCAGGAATTTCTCCAACATAGGATATTTTCCATAATTGCGACTTTTCCTTTTCGTTTGGATCGAAATAACGTGTAGATTCTGTGTGGAATATTTTTTTTAAAAGTGATTGAGAAATTTTGACATTTTACATTCCTATGGAAATATTTCTTCAAATTTATAATAGGAAAAAAATCAGCATTTACTATTTGTACGTGCTTTTGATAAATTGAATCAGATTTATTTTTAGACCGTGCTGTATTTTAGATACAGAACAGTTGGCTAATACAAGACAGTATACAGAGGTAATACAGAACGGAAAGTAGCTCCGCCCACTGTATTTCCGTTCTATATTGCTAATACAGAACAGCAAACTTCAAAGAAAAACACCGCAATCGTGTCACAATTCAAAATTATGGTGTCCGGATAGGGCCATTTGCAAAAGCTCAACAGCGCGTTCAGAAAAACACGCCGTCGCGCTAACACACAACACGCCGTCACGCCAACACACAACATGCCGTCGCGCTAACACACAACTCGCCGTCGCGCTACCACAAAGTTGTGTTAGCGAGTTGTGCGACAGCGTGTTGAGTAAAGTTGCGTTAGCGCGACGGCGTGTTGTGTGACAGCGCGACGGCGTGTTGTGTAAAGTTGTGTTATCGCAACAGCGTGTTGTTTGAAAGCGTGTTAGCGCGACGGCGTGTTGTGTATAAGCGCGATGACGTGTTTTGTATAATTGTGTTAGCGCGATGGCGTATTGTGTGTTAGCGCGATGGCGTGTTTTTCTGAACGCGCTGTTGAGCTTTTGCAAATGGCCCTATCCCAACCAATGAGAATATTTCTTTCAAATTCATTGTTATGAAGTGGCTCCACAGGCTTGTAGCAACGGTTTCAAAAGGAGGGTGCAACCTTCCAAAACAAAACTGACTAGCAAAAAAAAAAAACAAAAAAAAAAAAAAAAAACAAATAAAAAACAGAAAAAAATCCTAAACTGTCGAAATAGTGGGGGGGGGGGGCTTCTAAAAAAAAATCCTTAACTGACCAAATTCTGGAATTTGCCAATGCTCCATCTTACAGCAACAAAAAGTTGGGGCCAAACAGCATCTAAACGAAACTTTCCTTAGCAAAATACACAGAAAAAAGTTGCCCTCGGGTTCTACAGGCCTGCTCAAAGCCATAGCACATCTTTTGTGATTGAAAGAAGATGGATCTTCAAAAAATTAATCTCTGATATTTTATTTGAGGTAACAAGTCACAAATCCTACAATATTGACACTTTTCAATTTGAAGATAAGTCACATTTGTTTACAAAACTCACCACTATAAATGCCGTTTTCCGATTGGCTCCCAGTCCTTGACAGGAACAAATAAAATAGTAGCGTATACCGGCCAATCGTAACTACTTTGCTATTTCCGTGAACTACAGTTATTTCTCTCTTGAAAAATGGCCGAGTGACGTACCAGCCCGACTTTCAAATGTTTGTGTAGAGGAACGAAACTTATGACAAACCTTAAAATTTTTTGGTTCAGAAAAACTTGAATTAAAAAAAATATATACACGAGTTTATAAAAAAAAAATATACGCGAGAAAAAAAAATCCGTATGATGATTTACTCAGGATTTACTCAGGAAAAGGCCTGAGAGGTCCTCTCTTAGTAGAATTAGAAGTGGAAGATATAATTTCACACCAAAAAACAAAAGTTGCAATGTTAATACTGGTGTGACTGAGGATGAAATTTATTGTTCTTGTAAACAGTGATACATAGTCTTAAATATTATTGTAAAATCTATTAGAAACTGATTTGAACATAGAAGTCAAGTACTTAAGACAACATTGTGTAAACAATATCTAATGATATTCAAATGGCCTTTGCCAATTATTGTACCTGTGTTTTGCCAATAAATTCAAATTTGATTCAATAGATTCAAATTTGTTCAAACCATGGTTCTCGGAGACAGGGTAGGGCCGCAGTAAAGGTTTAAAAAAAAAAGGAACGAACAAGAAAACAACAAAAAAGCCCTTGATGAACAGCATACAGGGCCAAGGTGATTCAGGGAAGCGTTGTGGCCCATGGACCTCTTGTTTGGTTTTACAGACATAAAAGAGGTCAGAATTTAAATTCACTAAATACAACATACTGAAAGCAAATCCCTTTGATATTGTGTATTAATTACTTGTAAAAAATGCATTAAAATAAAGCAGAAGGTGCAAAGGCATAGACAAATCACAATATTTCGTAAATGTTCCAACACCACCACCCCCTCTAACAACCAACCCACCCCGAAGTGGCGATTTAGCAAAAAGCAATTTAACAATCATATATTAATCTTAGTGCATCATTGCACAATACCATTTGCATTTAAGTAAACAGCACCAGCACTTAAATTCAAAGTACAGAACATGATAAGTTTGGAGGATTTGATATTTTTTGTAAGAACCCATAGTAGACCCGTAGAACGCAGCTAGGGAGGGGGGCTTTTTTCTGAGTACAGTGTATAAAATTTTGCTATAGTAAATTTTCATTTAGATGCTGCCCCCCCCCCCCCCATTTTTGTTGCTTTAAGGTCGAGCACTGGCAATATATTCCAGGATTTGAAAAAAAAAATGTACCAATAAGTAGGAAAAATGTACAATCACCCCCCCCCCCCCCAACACACACACAAAATAGGATTTTCGAATTTGGACAGTTAATTTTTGTTTTGTTTTTTGTTTTTGTTTTGTTTTGTTTTGCTTGTCAGATTTTTTGGGGAGTAGTCCCCCCCCCCCCAGTTTTGAAATTGTTGCTACGGACCTGCATAGCATATACACACTGTACGCACAGCGCTTGCTTAAAATGAGATAGATATTGTAAGTATATCGTTTCTGTAAACTTAATTGGTTCACTATCCACTACAGAAGTCAAATCATAAAAAGTTTAGTCACATACTTTAAAATGATGCATATTAAGTTTTGTACATGTCGATTATTCACTGTGTAAAAGGCGGAAACTGCTGTTCCGGTGTTTTCTTTATACCGGCAGTGGGCGATCAGGGATTTCTCCTTGGTTTATACTTTTATGGTGAATTATTATCATGCATTCTAAGAAGTTAGAAACTTTCTTGGTATTATTGTATATTTTTCATTACGGACATGCAGGTATGTTGGTCTGCTAATAGTAAATGTTGTTTAAGTCTATATATATTTTATATATCATAAACTATTTGTATTACTGTACCAAATACTTGTCATTTTGAATATCATCTCAATCATGTAAGCTATAGAAACTGAAATTTAATTAAAGTTCGGTTCTGTTTCAAAACTTTGATATTGTTTTCAGTCAAATTCGTCTTAAAGCATAAAGGATTTGGGATTAATATGTTCACTTCCGATTGCTTGGTTGTAAATGAATAAATGTAGTGATCATGTCCATATACAAATTAGTAAATAACATCACAAAATCTTCATTGGGGGGGGGGGGGAGGGGGGCAAAAGCAGGATGAGAAAGGATGAGAACTTATTTTGTCAAGTCAAAAATTGCCCTACATAAAAAAGAGCCGTATTTGAATAGATATTTGCCTATTTTAAATAGATAAAGTGGGTTTGATTCCGTGTAGTATCGAAATTCTTTACGAGAGTAAAGGAATAACTTGATGTAATCTTGAGGTAATATCAAGCCACGTAAACAAAATCTTTTGATTCTCATTCTATTTCGCTTAAAGCATGAGGTGGTTGGATGGATGTTATTTGTTGCTTATTAAAACATGTATATAATATTTTTATGTATGAAATTGCTCAAATTTTTATCATTGTTAATGCTAATTTGTGTAAAATAACCTTTTTTCAGCTTTGATCGCACACATTTCGTTCCTGCAATGTAAACGCTCGTACACATGTATATATTCGGATTTTTTTCATACTGATCCCCCTTTCTTTCCCTCTTTTTATTTTGGACAATTTTCCTTGTCCTTTTTAAAATCAAAATTAAGGGTGTAACATTTGAAGGTGGGAAGACGGGGAAGAAATGTTGTGATTTAATTTCAGTATCTTGAGCCGGAAATCTCTGGAGAGAAAATCGCTTCTTTGTGGCAAATATGTTTTAATCTCAAATTTAATTTTGAATTAAGTCCACAATAAACCATAACAATACACTTTATTATATCCGCATGCAGAGTGAGCCACACACTTGCGATACATGTATACGTGCTACATGAATGGTAAGTTCAAAGGTCTTCTGTTACGTTTCATGTGCTTAGCAAAACCCGTGACTTATAAGTAAGCTATATCTCGTGCATGTATTTTAAGTGACGTCTCTGTGCGTTAAAAAAAGAGAGAAAAATCCTGCGAAAATTAATATAAGCCTATAGGTTGAGGAAGATCAAGTAATACGAAGCTTGTACAGTGTATACGAAAAAATTACATTAGCCGGAATAGATAGCATACTCTTTCATCAAAATAACATTTAATTTCAATATTTGAAAAAAGAAATGTTGAATCTCGTTTATGCATTGTTGATTGAGTCGAAAATATTTATTATTTTCCTTTGTTTAGAAAATCATTTAAATGCATAAACTTAATACACCGAAGCTTAAATGATCTTCGCATTTATGATCATTCTTTAAATCTATGTCATTTTCTCTAATTTTTTTTCGAGGGGGGTGGGGGCGACCCCCTTTCCTGGGCTCTGCCCTTGACCGATAGGATCTGCGACCCCCCAACTGCATTTTTTTTTAAATTCTCGAAACCGTGAATGATTTCAAATGTTAGTATGTTGTTGTCCTAAGTATATAAAGATCTTGATTCAAAACCAAATAAAAAAGTTCAAGATTACTGGGCCATAGAATTGTTCAATGATTTGAGGGGCTCAGCTCTTGAACACTTGATTGCATCGGATTCAAGCTTATTTTGCGGTGTTTGTTTAATAATATAATATAATGGGATGGGTAACTGCAAAGGATAGAAGATGTTTTAAAGGTACATATAATCAGTTCACTACGAAAGCCTATTAGGATCAAACTACGGTAAAAAAAAAATTAAAAGGCGTTATAACGCCTTTTCAAAAGGCGTTATAACGCGAAAAAAGGCGTAATAACGCCTTTTGAAAAGGCGTTATAACGCGGAAAAAGGCGTAATAACGCAAATAAAGGCGTAATTACGCCTTTCCAAAAGGCGTTATAACGCGAAAAAGGCGTGATTACGCCTTTCCAAAAGGCGTTATTACGCCTTTCCAAAAGGCGTTATTACGGCTTTCTAAAAGGCGTTATAACGCCTTTCTAAAAGGCATTATTACGCCTTTCCAAAAGGCGTTATAACGCGAAAAAAGGCGTTATTACGCCTTTCCAAAAGGCGTTATTACGGCTTTCTAAAAGGCGTTATAACGCCTTTCTAAAAGGCATTATTACGCCTTTCCAAAAGGCGTTATAACGCGAAAAAAGGCGTTATTACGCCTTTCCAAAAGGCGTTATTACGCCTTTCCAAAAGGCGTTATTACGCCTTTCCAAAAGGCGTTATTACGCCTTTCCAAAAGGCGTTATTACGCCTTTCCAAAAGGCGTTATAACGCCTTTCCAAAAGGCGTTATTACGCCTTTCCAAAAGGCGTTATAACGCCTTTCTAAAAGGCATTATTACGCCTTTCTAAAAGGCGTTATTACGCCTTTTCAAAAGGTATTATTACGCCTTTCCAAAAGGTTTTATTACGCCTTTCCAAAAGGCGTTATTACGCCTTTTAAAAAGGCGTTATTACGCCTTTTTTTCAATACATGACTTACTTAGCCACCCTGGGGGCTGATTATAATTAGATTTCTAGGAAAAAAGATTTTTAAATGTGTAAAATATTTTCAGTGTTAAACCAACTTAGTCCTTCTCTGATGCCAGACGCTTCTACCAAGGTGTATGGATTTCAGAAATTTTGTTGAAGGCTAACTGCTCATTATATATCTATGCAAATACTTTGCCAGTTTTTTACCAAGAGGAGAGAAAAATATTTCAAATTTGACATGAATTTTTAATACGTGGCTAGCAAAACCCAAAGCTGGTTCTGCCTATATCCTGGATTTTCAAAAGTAGAGTGTTGACTTCTCTTAATATGCATGCAAAATGCAAACAACTGTCTGCGAGATGTGCAGGAATATAGAAAATACTATTATAATTTATAAAATAATTTATAATATTAAAACTATAATCTAAATATTGCATAAATAAAGATGGCTTTGGTTCAATCTTTCATATATTTACTATTTTAAAATAACGCCTTTCCATTTTTGGATACAACTCCTTTTCAAACAGGCCGGTAGTACGAATGTGAGTTGGGGGGGGGGGGGGGTCCCCACCCCACTTTTTGGGAGAATAGTCTTGCTATAGTTTAAATATAAAAAATCATTAATTGATTGCTTGGTCCCTTAACATTTTGTTGCAGTATGGTTAACCTCGGGCAAGTCATTGCATTTAAAAAAGTTTTACCGAAAAATTAGAAAAAGTTTCCCCTCAAGTTTAGGCAGTTTATTTTTTTCGGGGGGGGGGGGGGGGGTTCTTGTTTTTTTGTTTGCTTGTCAATTTTATGGGACCCCCCCCCCCCCCACACACACACACACCTGTCAAAGACATAATAATGGCCCTTCAAAAGGCATAATAACGCCTTTTTGAAATGCGTATTAATGCCTTTTAAAAAGGCGTAATAACGCCTTTTGGAAAGGCGTAATAACGCCTTTTGAAAAGGCGTAATAACGCCTTTTAGAAAGGCGTAATAACGCCTTTTGGAAAGGCGTAATAACGCCTTTTAGAAAGGCGTAATAACGCCTTATAGAAAGGCGTTATAACGCCTTTTGGAAAGGCGTAATAACGCCTTTTGGAAAGGCGTAATTACGCCTTTTTTCGCGTTATAACGCCTTTTATTTTTTTTTTAACTGTAGTTTGATCCTAATAGGCTTTCGTAGTTCACGGTACTCAAGATCATTTAATTAAAATCATTCAGGCGCGGATCCAGGATGTTTTTTTCCAGCCGAAGGGGGGGGGGGGGGGGGAGTGGGGTCCAACCCAGTCAAAGAAATATTTCCATCCAAAAATTTCTTGATTTGCAAAAAAAATAAAAAAGCCTACATTCCCTTCCCAAACGTATTAAACCCAGAAAATTTCTTGACAAGCAAAATAAAAGAACCCCCCACACACAAACAAACAGTGCTAAAATCCATTTCCCAAACGTGAAAAACACTATATTTCGTGGTGGTGACGGTGGGGTCCATGTTTTCTGGGGGAGGGGGTCCAAAGTCTTTTTTTTTTTGCTTCAGTATATACTTTTAATATCTCTGCAAATAACAGGGGGGGGGGTCCAGACCCCCTCCCCCTCTAGATCCGCGCATGTTATTAAAGAAACACAGGACAGGCTGGGTAACGATACGGTGTTTAAACAGCAATTAACATCTCGAAAACTTACCATTTAACCCTGCGATGTCAATTCGGAGAGGCTTGATTATCTCCAAATTAGTGAAAATGCTAACATTTCAGAAATGTTTATTTGTATTTTTAACTGAAATTTTCAAGAAATTGCGTGGAAATTTATACATATTTTTTTCGTCGACTATCCTGTCCATGAAATTAAGGACACTTTTATTACTTCGAGATTCAAAGTCGGGTTGAAACCAAGGTTACGAGAAATAATGAGCTGACATTATGAGAGACATTTTCCTTCTGTTTATTTAAAGACACCCTCCTTTCTTTGGCCTTAGCGTAAATAAAGTTTGTAACAATACTGGTTCCAATAACATTTTTTATGTTTCTCAGATACAACAGTATTGTCATCTCCAAGTTATTCGAAGCCACCAGTTACAAACGACCAAAATGAAGCAACAACTGAAAATTTGTCAAATGTAACTGTAACTCCAACGAATTCAGGTAAAATTATATATATATATATATATATATATATATATATATATATATATATATATATATATATATATATATATATATATATATATATATATATATATATATATCCAAAAAATGAAAAGAAATATCACAGTGTCCGGTAATTAATATGAAAATTAAAAATAACAAGGCAACAATGTTAGTAAAACGTAAGCGCTTTCATTACTTCTTCAGACGTTTTACAATTCAAAACCAATGGTTTTTACATTTGAAGGTTTCCAGCTTGAAGGTTCCCAGCTTGATATAGTTGATAACTTTAAATATTTAGGTATTACATTTCAGGCGCGGATCCACGATTTTTTCCAGGGGGGAGGGGTCCACACCAGTCCATAGACGTAAAATGCACTTCCCAAACGTGAAAAACACCTATTTCGTGGTGGTGATGGGGTCCACGTTTTCTTGGGGGGGGGGGGGGTTTCCAAATTAAGTCATTTTTTATTTGCTTCAGTATATACTTTTAATAACTCTGCAAATTCTAGGGGGGGGGGGGCACCCCTCTAGATCTGCATTTTGTAATAGTAATTCTTTCAATAAAATTCCAAAGAATTATATGACAAAGCCACCAAAGCTATAAAGCTATGTATAGTGTTATTGGTAAGTGTAGAAAACATAATTTAGCAATTGATTGTAGATTAGACATGTTTGACAAAATTGTCAAACCAATACTCCTATATAGATGCGAAATGTGGGGTTTTCATAAAATTAAACTAATAGAGAAATTACACTTAAAATTTTACAAACATATTCTGAGCTTGAAAACATCAGCACCAAACTTTATGGGGTATGGAGAACTTGTATGGAGAACTTGTAGACATCCTTAATAATTAATATCAACGTTAGTATGATTTCATTTTGGGGTAAACTCATTAATGCCCAGAGCTCTAAATTGTCTGGAGAACTTTTATGTGCATTGAAAATATATAAGAATCCTTGGTCTGGTTTTGTTCAGAAAATTTTAAATGAATGTTGATTGACTTATATGTGGTATGAAAATTCAAATTAATACATCTTGGCTAAAAAATAAGGTATATACCACTCTTTAGATCAGTTTAAGCAAACATGGTTTAGTGATGTACAAACTTCCCCTAAAGGTTTTAATTAAAATTTTTTTTAAAAAATCATTAATATTTGAAGACTATTTGTTGAATTTGCCTCCTAAACAATCCACGAAATATTGTTTATTTAGAACTGGGAATACAAAATTACCTATTGAGACTGGTAGATACTTTAACAACAGAGAAAATAGAATTTGTAAACTATGTAACTGCAATGAAATCGGGGATGAATTTCATTAATACTTATTTCTATCTATAAAGAACTCAAGACTTATGTATTTGTCAAAATATTTTCAATCGAATCCAAATGTTTTGAAATTTGAAATGTTTTTTAATGTAATAAATATTAATCAACTTAGCAAAATTTGTAAATTGGTAGATATTATAATTTCAGAGAGTTGCCTCTCTTGGTTGATATTACACTCTTTTAGCCTTTATTCTTCGTGTAAAATTTTCTGTTTATTATATTGTACATATCTTCTCTTCACTGTCTTGTCAGTTAGAATAAAGTTCATTCATAAAAAGCCCGCAGGTTCACAGGTGTTTGAAAAAGTACCCCCACCCCCGGCGTTCCGTACCCCTAGGGTTCCTCGATCGGCTCTTTTTTTATAACAAATTTTTCTATGACACATTCACAAAATATTACAATTGAAAAATTCAAAATATAGTCTGAATCCAACTTTTTTTTAAATAAAAAATTCACACTCTCCGAGACATACATTAATATGTTTTGTGTTCAGATGTATATTGCATTTTAAATAATGACTATGCACATGTTTACACATTAAGATGTATCTTAAATTAATCATATCAACATGTCTACATATGAAACTTATATAAATACCACCAACTAACTATAAGAATTACTCTTCATTGTATATTGTCTACTATAGTCTGTTACTTTATCTGTAATTTTATATGTTATATCGGTTTATGCCCATTTGGATCCTGACTTCGAAATAAATGCTATTCTATTCTATTCTAGCTGCAGAACTGAAGCGTTATGGTTTTATATTTTAGTCTTTGACCGTAACTGTTCTGCAGGCTGCAGCTAATCAGTTTTACTCCATTGAAAAGAGAACACTCGTTCTCTTTCAGTATCAGCACAGGAGTACGTTGGCGATTTTATCAATTATTTATTTGAAATTTTTTAAAAAATAAAATACTGTAACTTCCAAGACAACTAAATTTTTTCATAGACGTACATGAAGTAAGGTTAGCTTTTTGACCAGACCTATTTTATGTATAAAATGACTATATTAAGTCTTGTTTATTCTCATAGTCACTTATTTAACAATATCCCAGCTTCCTCTGGCCTATGTTAATGCCCGTCTTTATTTTTATTTTATCTAATTATGCTTTTTCATCATGTATATTATTTTTTTTAAATTTTTCTCTCACCATGTTTTAATTCAATAGTTTTAAATATTTACCACGTCGGCATACAGTCATGAACGATCATTCCCCTAGCGGACAAGATTAGAGTCAAGGGGAGATAACGCGTAAAATTATTACGTGTGCGCATGTGTCAATAAGAGGCCATTTCTCCCAAGGTTGATTAGAAAGTATTCGAAGAAGAACATACGATTTCTGCGGCTGTGAAGAAAGATGAACTCGAACAAAGTATTTGCTTTCTGTGCTGTATTGTCCACAGCGTTAATTGGTATCGTTCAAGGTAAGAAAATTCGGTCTGAAATGTTTTTTTCGTACCATCGAAAAATAGGGTCACATACGTAAAAAAGCACCATCTATAATCAGCTGATCAACAACAGTAGTGTACATTGACATTTGTGAAGCCGACGCACTAACAGCTTTTGTTATGACAATTATCATGTGCCCTCAAAGTATTTTGTATGCCATGCTGTATAAAGTGTTACTGCCCTGATTGCATATGAGGAATCCGAATGGAAAAACATTTTTGACCTGGTTTGATGTGGTGATCGACTGGTGTCACAAAATTCAATACAAATTTTGAAATATTCATCATGATACCACACTAGATCAAATAGACCAATATTATGATGGATCCATTACTTCTTCAGAAAAGATAGGTAACTGTTTTTGTGATCTCTCAAAATAAAGTTAACTACCAAGACAATGTTATATTGCATCACATAGATGTTGTAGATAGATCAATGTCAATTTCATGCATTGATCTATTTCACTGTCTGGACTACAACATGACTTAATAACCTTTCGGTATTACATGTATAATATAACAGCAAACATCCAAACATAGCTCTAGAGCATCCAAAATTAAAGTTAGAAATTCTTTTCCAGTTGAGTTGTGTTAAAAGGATAAACCTAACACAAATGTAAAAGACTTTCTGAATTACAGAGTTTTGAAGTTTATATTCTCATGTCTAGGATTAGAAGGATCAACTTTTTACAAGGTTAAGTTCACAAAGGTGTGAAATTTTTCACCTATGAACATTCTTCATGAAACTCTTGTAGTGCTTCATGAAGAATAATGCAAGGGTGAAAAGTTTCAAGACATATATCATCATTAACTTTAAAACTTAATTCTTTTTACTTTCCAATGATTCATGTATTTCATTAAAACCACAGAGAGATTGACAAAATGTGTAGGGTTTATTTCCTTCATTTAAGTGTAGTGCTACATTATTACAATATTACTCCTCAGTGGTCTTGAAATTTCTTTGAATAGAATTTTACAGTTAAACCACATTTCAGATAGCCTGGAAAACTACCTTTTTGATGCTAAAAGTGGTTTGTCTTGCTTTTGGTTGTCCCTTACCAACACTGTTAGTGAAAAATAAAATTACAAAACTGTAGTTTATCAGCTGTAATGTACAATCAAACCTCGTTATCTTGAACTCCATGGGACCGAGAAAAAACTTTGAGATATCCCAGGATATCGAGGGTAAAATACTTTAAAAAGATAAGGGGTTGGGACTTGAAAATCAGTTCGACATATACCCATGGTATTCGAGATATCAGTGTTTGAGATGCTGAACTTCAACTGTATTAACTATTTTTGTGTGAAGAATGGTTAACATTAGTGCTTACTGTTTTTAAAATAATGGAAATATATAAAAATATATACAGTTCAGGGCTGTAGGAAACTGGGATGGGGAAAGGGGGTAGGGAGATGTCTGAGGTGATCCCCAATAAATTATAATATTGCCAATATATACTAGCTGTGCGATGAAACAGTAGATAACCAATGCTAATTTACCAGCTGGGCCCCCTCAGTACTGAAGTCTGATGACCTTTTTCTGGTTGTCGAGGAATTTTTTGTAGTGCACCCTCAAACTGATATTGCTTCATGCGGGCCTACAGTATGACCAAAATACTTATTAATGTTAGATAACAAGTGCCTCAAAGCTACACTTAAACTAGCATAATTACTTGGTAAAGATTTACTATTGTTGGGAGTATAATTATTCTCAATAGTTCCTTAGGGTAAAGGCTTATCTGAAGTAATGTGCTACCATGTTTATATTAATTTATTCATGGTCATACAGATATCTTGAATTAAGGGACAACTTACAAAATGGAAATTTTATTGATATCAGTTCTTTCCTACTTTGGATACAAGATAAAATTATTTTCTAATGCACAATCATAAATCATTCAAATGAATTATGAGAAGTTATTCATTTTCACAAACTTGCAGGGCTCAACATTAAGGGACGTCCCACCGACAGACTAGTAAAAGTTTGGTCTGGGCTAGTTTATTTTGCATCAAGGTAGCCCAACTGGTTGTGTACAGTGTTTCCGTTAATGCATATTTCTGTGTAATTTACATATAAAAATACTTTTTACCCCCTAAAACATCACCCAAAGGGTCATCATAGTGCAGAAAAAATATGAAAACAAATTTTAAAAATCGAGTTGAATATTGTTGCCTTGATGGAACCAGTTTATTAATTTATTTTCAAACTC